CTGTTTTCTTTGTAGATGTTGTTTTATAAATTAAAGCTATCTAAATGCTTCCTGGAGAAACTCTTATTGAAATGGAATGTTAAAATAGTTTTGCTCTATAATGCAGAGTTTTTTTTCCTCCAAAAGAAAAAAATCCTTGTTCCACATCTAATACAGCTTTAAAGTTGGCAAAATTCAGTTGCTCTTTGGATAACGTGTTCATTCTCAGTGCTAGCAATATTGCATAGTTTCTTATGTGAGGTCTCATGTGCAGTATTTTAACTTATTTTATGGAAAGACTTGTTAATTTTGTGCAATGTTTGATCATGCCCACCATCCCTGCCCCCTTCTGTCTGACCAGTAAGAGGAAGCAGTGTGTCATTGTGTTCTAGTGACTTCCAAAATTTCTGGTATGTACTCTTGTGGGGGAGAGTGGGATGGAAAAGTCTATAGGAGTGTTTAATATCATTAGGAAAATAGATGACAAGTTGTTTAGTTCTAGGGACAATGGTGGCTGCTATATGTCTTTTTTTTTTTTTTCTTGAAAGACAAAATATTGTATAGAAGAAAAATTCCCACTGTATTGCTTCATAAAGGAATCCCAGTGAAATCAAGAAAACCTCTTCTCAAGAAGAGATCAAGAAGGTTTCAGTGTTCTCTCTTACTCAGACTGAACTTGTGATGACAAATCAACTTTAGCATATTTCTTTTTGGGGTCTTCTAAACAAGCAAACACTCCCAGTCAAGTAGAAACTTGTGATCAATCTCACAACAAGTAGTTTACTGTTTTCACTGAGTTGTTAGGTACAGCCTCCAAATACTGGTTATCTGCTCTTGACTTAACTGCAAATCATGTTTCTTGCATATGCTTTGAACGAAAACTAATTGATGCAAATAGCCCAAATACAGTGGAATTCGCTGCTGCTTTGCTTAACTGGAAATAATTTTTGGTTGCTGGCATGAAGGCTGCAGAATTAACTAAGAGAAGGTGTGCTTTGCTTCTCTTCCTCACACTGAATGCGACACTGTTTTCTATTTTGTCAAAACTCACAAGATGAGAAGACTTCATACTCAGTATAATAATGTCCATGTTTTCCCTTTGGAGAGGCTCGAGAGTGCCTGCCTTTTGTTTTCCATCACGGCTTGTAACACCATGTGGCGCTCTTGTTCAAATAACAGCATTTTTATTTTGCTTGCTTTCCTTAATCTCTCAGTGAGAGGTTGAAGGATGTCCAAAATAAGAAGTGTTCTTGGACAAACTAACCAGAAAAATTTTCAGGCTTTATTAAGAAACTCAGTCTTTAAATTCAAGCCAGTTCGTACAGATAGACACTATGAAATGGGTCTTTACTTGATGTCTATGCTTAAGTTCTTGTTCGAAGAGTTACTGCCTGTTTTCTTTTGTCATGTGTGTAAACTGTGCTCTATGTGGGTACATTCCTTTTCAAACAACTTAAGGTGAATGGCAATAAGTCAGGAAAAACTGTGGTCTTCTGCATTTCAATGCAGAAGTTAATATCTCAGTGATTTTTAGACTTTCAGTGCAGGCTGTTGTAAGAAACGTCAGTAGAAGTGAATAGAAAGATGGTTAAGAGGGATGATCTGCTAGTAATTCTGAGAAATTCTTTGTTCACATCAGTCTGATACCAACTTCTCTAAGGGATATGTGTGAAAGGGGGAGCTGTTGCATTCACTTACCTGATGGAGTGGCACAGCAGAATTGGCACAGGACAAGTGCTTCATAACACGCTTGGTACCATCTGTTTTAGCTCATACAGGAGCTAATGCAACCACTGTCTAGCTTCTACTGGTCTTCCTCGTGCTGTGCAAAAGTACCTTTACATACTGCAAACCACAAAAGCTGAACATCAGTGTCACACTGAACCAGGTATCTATGATAGTCATCCTGGACAAATGATACTGCACTAAGAAGGACTCCAGCTTTGGCTTTGTTTCAGAGACTTTTGTCTTGCTGGACTTAGAAATAATTTGACTTTAATAATAAATTGGAATTTTGCATGGCAAAATTTCACATGTTCTGATGTCAAAAAGAATATTTGCTTTCTTGTAATTCTGTTCTTGTTGATACAGGATGTGGGAAAGCTCTGATGCTGCAGCACTCAGATGATGAATGTCCCTGCTTCCCAGAAGCACACAATTATTGAGTGCTCCGTTTTGTGTCTATGTTCCTCCAAATTAATCATCCGATATCCATGCTGCTACATAGCTAGTGTATTAGTGTGGGACAGTTTAGATTCACCTGTCACAAACTGAATAGTTTTTAATACATGGAACATCAGAATTGCCACATGGCAAAACAGAGATTTATTGAGCCCAGTATTGTCTCCAGAAATGGTAGCAATGCGTGCTTAGAGCAAGAGATGTAACAAGACTGCGGTGATATTCTCTTTCCATCAAGATCTCCTTGCTACTTGCCAGAATCTGTGCAAAGATGTCCTGAACGAGAAACTGCAGCTGGACTGTGAACTTTTGTAGTGATTGGATTTTATCTATGAACTGTTCAATGAATTATTAAAAAAAATTAATTTAATTGCTCACTCTGAGAAAGTGCTTCTTGTTTGTTTTAAACCTGCTTCTTGATACCATTGTTTAATTATGTTTTTTTAATCTTCCTGACTTTATCATAGTTCTCTAGGCCTCTCATGTCTGTGCCTTATTGTCTTTTTCTCCTGTACGACTGCTGCTGCATTTTGCGCTTCTCTATTTGTCTCTTTAGAGGTCTGCTGACCAAACTCTACTCAAGTTGTAAATATGTAGTGCTGTGACAGTTGTGTTTTCATTTGTTTTCTATGCCTTCCCTAATGAGTTCTAAAACTTTTGTCATTTTCATGGCTTCTGAGCATAGAATTGATATTTTCAGAAGACTGTCTAAAATAATGTCAAGGTGTTCTGCTTCCTAGCCAAGAGTTTGATAACACCAACTTGACAGCTACTTCTTGTGCTGTGTTAGGGTTATTTTTTTACACTACTTTTCCTTTTCATGTATTGGTAGTGAATTTTACCTGTAGATTTACTATGCATTCACTGTTGTGAAGTCTCTCTTCAGTCTCCTTTCTTTTAAAGTACTTTAATAATAATATGTTGACAGCAGCATTTTTACTGATTAAATTTTACCTGTAGATTTACTATGCATTCACTATTGTGAAGTCTCTATTCAGTCTCCTTTCTTTTAAAGTACTTTGAATAATAATAATATGTTGACAGCAGCATTTTTGCCCCCTTTTCCAGATAAGTTTAATAGCACAGATTATTGGGGAAGGCAGGGGATGAGGGTCTATAGCAATCTGCCACAGTTATAAAAATTGCTCATGATCGCTTCATATCACTCTCCTATTCTTTTTGGTGTATCCTGTTAAGAACCTTTGAGAAGATGTCAAAATTAAAAAAAAAAAGTTGAGGGTAGCTTCCTCTGCTCTCAGAACCAAAAAATAACAGAAGAAACATAAGAAAAAAAAACAACCAACCAAAAAACCTCAGGATAGACAGCGAAAGTGTAACACAGTCAAATTTATTTGTTCTTATCTACTATTCTACTCTTCAGGTAACCATCTCTGACAAGTCCTAACATTTGAGATTATTACCCACTTCAGACTGGGAGCCACCAAATGTTCAGAGGTCACAAGTCAGCTGATTACTACTGTTGTACCTCAGTATGAGGTAGTAGCTTCAGTTTCCTGCTTTGAAACGAGGAAGACCAGCAAAACAGTTACGTTTGTTTTTGCTGGTGCATAATTTGAGTCAGCTATACTAGAATAACACAACCTGAGCTTCATCTGTTTAGTGATTCAAACCAGGCTAAGACCTAGTAAAATAAAGCTATAGTATGATTTGCATATAATGATCTAGTGCTATGAGGTGCCTTTAACTCCAAGAACTATGTACTGGAAAAATCTGACTTGCATGTGGTTTGTAGTTGTTTTGTTTTGGGGTTTTTTTTGTAGGTGTAACTGTATCTTATAGCTGCTTTAAGGGCCCTTAGCTCCTACCTCATGTGGAAAGAATGAAACTGTTCCTTGGTGGGAGCCTTGAACCTTGCTGGAGAGCTGTGCCCAGCAGTGGCTGTACCTATAACAGACCTGTTACAGCTGCAGGGAAAGCCATTGGCAACTCAGTATTTCTGATGGGAGACTTGCAATAACTTTAGCTTCTCTAGCCTACTGAAACCTATATACTAAGCAATATTTTTAATTTTTTTATTTTTTTTTTTTTTTTTTTTTTTTTTTTTTTTTTTTTGTGATAGACAGGCACTGCCTGTCTGGCAACCAGTTTCCCCTAAAATCAGGGCCTTCTGTAGCAAGCCAGAATGTGTAACCATGCTTGGGAGGTCAGGCTGATCATAGCGTTGTGCACAGGACTGATCTGTGAGGCTATGGCTGGGCAGCATGTATATGTCTTGGGGAAGGGAGCAGGGTCTGAGGATGGCTATACTGTCATATATAAAATAGAAGGGTGGGTAGACTGTGGAGCTCTAGAAGATGGCTAAATATTTAAAAGCTGACATTACTTTTTTTGTTTGTTTGTTTTGCTGTCACTTAAAAAGGAATGCTTTTTAAATTTTGGCCAAGGTGGTGTGCTTGGAAACCAACTTTTATATTTACATTTCTTTCTGCTCCTATCTCTCATGTTTAGTTTTTTATTAAGCAATGCTTTTGCCAGGAAAGTGCTGGGACGGCATTTTCAATCAAAATCAGGTAGATTGGCACACTTTGAAGTGAAACAAAGTTCCGTGGAGACAGGTGTTTATCTGCTCTGTGTATATAGCAACAACATATTCCTGATTGTGGAAACGGGTACGCACATGTCTTTGTACTTGGATATACACTGCATTTATGGTCTTAGGTAAATTTCCACTACTTTCAGCAAAATCCAGGATGCGATTTTGTGTGTATGTGGCAGTTGGTCAGATCTAAGTCTGTTGAAGTCCACTGCATTATGCAGAGAGGAAAATAACCCAGATGCATAAAACAGAGGAGCAAAAAAAGCGTTATTATCTGAAAAGGGTGTGTTGAAGAAACTCTTCTTAGCTTTATTCTGCTTTGAGTAGTAAACTTTCCTTCCATGTCATTGCAGATGTTAAATCACCTTTTTCCCCAGCTTTGCCATTCTCATCCTCAGAGCTGAAAAAAGAAAACAAACAAAGCCATTGCATTTTAAGACTAATTTTCTATTGCTGATTCTAAATCTCCTTATTTAGAAAAATGAAGAATACACATACCTCCAGTAGTTAATCCAGCAGAATAAGCATTGTTTTAGTGTTTTAGAAAGAAACCAGTAAAAGGTATTAGTTCTGGTAATTTTGCAATAAAGTGAGTATATTAATAAATTACTCCATTATCACTATTTGAAAATTAGCACAACTTTTTTCTAACTGTTATGTTTCTGTTACCTTTACTAAGGCATTGCAAACAGATGATACTGTCCTTGATTAGATGCTGACAGATTAAAAGGATGCATGAATAATTAAGCAAACCCTTTGTTAAACTAAACTGCTCAGTGGGAGCTGTAACTCTTTGAAAGCCTTTTTCTTTTGTGTTGATCTTCACAGAAAACTTTCTTCCTGGTGTAGTGAGTCAGAGTGGCAGTTAGTCATATTCCTGATTTAAGTCTGACAGAGTAACTTAGTATCTCTATAAGCATCAGTATAGCTATCATCTGTAACTGGATATAATGTGGGTTAGTTTGAAAGTGACGGTGCAGGGCAGATGATTAAATGTTAAGGTTATTTTTAGAACAGCAATATAATGCTGCTGTTTGATATGTAAGAGCCTCCCCCCACCACGTAGTTGATCTGAGAATGCAGTGGGAATAATCTCCAGCTCTCTGACCTGCTAGTTTGAAGAGTAACCCAAAATAGCATGTCTCATTCCTTCATCCTGCATATGTGTCTGTACTGAGAGACAGAGGGTCAAAGCAGCTGTTTACTTGGTTTACGCATGTCAGCAAATGTCCAACTCAAATTACGTTTTGAATGCTGAAGTTGTTTCGAATCAGAAGCATCTGAGTGTAACTTTATACCGTAGGGCCGCTGATGTTAAGCTTAGCTCTTAAAGACCTGAAATACTGTTTGCAGCTCAAGGAATTCTGAAGGATTTTAGTTCTGGTTTGAGAGAACAATCAGTCTGATGCTTTGCTTACAGCTGGTAGTCCATTTCTGTCTTGCTGTAGGCATTACAAAAACAGATGGCATTATGTGAAACTTTCTCTGTTAATAAGTTTTGTTGTATACTGCTTTCTTCAACGCAAATGGAACAAAGTCTCCGTTGTGTTTTTTGAAGGTTGCCCAGCTTCCAGTGATAAGGAAAAAAATTAGCTCATCTAGACTAGCTACCTGCCAAAAACCTTGGACCTGCATGTCCTGTGAGAGCCTGTTCCACAGTGTCAGTAGGTTTTATTGCCTATTCAGCTTCAGTTTTTCCTTTCCTTATTCATTCCACTACGTCTAGCCTTTGTTCCCCCCCGTAAGGACTTTTAATCTCTGTAATGAGTATTGAATCTTCAAAACATTTGCACACTAATTCATTTGACTGAAATTTAAAAAAGAAAAAAAACTCTAATATTGCAAAACACTGGTGTCCTAATTATAGCACTGTCATCCTTCTCTCAGTATAGTTTTTCTGAGGGCATATACTTTGAGATATTGGTCCCCCATCAAGGTCACAGGGAAGGGAAAATTGTTCCCATATTGAAAGAGGTATGTCCTACACTTCTGTCAGTTTGAGGGCATACTGAAAGCTTCTAACTTAATGTGATATTTCTCTATGTATATTGGCACATGGAACAATTCCTCTGCTTCTTAGCTGTCCTTGACCATTGCTGACTCTTTCAGTAACTTGCTCTGAAGGTTCATTGCTTTCCCAAAGCAAGGTAGTTCCGTAAGGGACCGTCTCCCTGGTCTGTCCTGTGCTCCCTTGCTTTCCATTCTCTTTCAAGGAGTCCTCAGTCCCTGTTTAATGTTCAAATGCTGCAATTGCCTCCTAAAACTTTCATTTCAGAGGGGATTATTTTTTTCTGATGTATGGTTTATTGTTTTAATAATGAATGATGAGGTACTAAAAATAATTTTGACTCTCCTTTTTTCACTGGTGGTGTTTAGGGTGAACCTGCTAGGCTGGGCACCAGTGGATGCTTTGAAAACAGTTTATTTCCCTAAGAAACAGCTCTGTGTAATACATTGTTCTGGATTTAAGAGGCTTTCCTGTTTTTTTTCCTTTATATAAGTCACAGTAGGATTACAGGACTTCTTGGGAAAAATTGACTCACTTCCTGGCTTTTATCACTGATGAAAATGTCCCAGGGAGTGGCAATAAATAGGTGGAGGGGTAAAGAGGAATATGGCTTAGTTCCAAATTCTACTGAGCACTTAAGACACTCAATTGGAGGCAGTGCTGACTGTTCTGGTGTATTTTTGAGGCAGTTGCCAAACTGCTTTTAATTTAATTGGGACCATTTTTTTTCCTATTTGACTATTTTCTCCTTTGTAGAATACTTGTAAGTAAATGGGCAAGACCAAATACAGATTAACAGAACAGACTGTCACATGTCTTTGCTAGATTTACACTTATCCCCCTTCCCTGAAAGTCAGTGTGTTTTCCACTAACCTCAAAAAAGCGAGAACCCAGATTTTTCGGAGAGTGCCTATGAGTGGCAGGGAAAAATTAAGATATTTCAGACACTTCTTTCAGGGGACAAAAACTGTTATAGATGGAGGTGCTTAGCTAACATCTCAGCCTGTGTATGGCCCACCTGAATGCTGCCAGCTCATAGTTACTTCTTGGAAACCTCTTTTGCAGCATCTGTTCCGGAGCACCTATGCAGCCTGCTCTAGGATAAATGAATTATTTCAGTAGCAACCAGCTGGTGGGTGGGTGAGTGTAGCTTCTCCCTTATATGCCCATGCATATGTGATGGGGCAATTAAGGGACTGTACCCAAAACAAAATGGGCTGGAGCACTTGCTGGAGTGGTTTGTCTTGCCTGCTACTATTGCTTGCAGTTGCTGCCATAAGAGTTGCTGGCAGCAGCCTTTGGTCCTGGAGGACCCAGGGAAGTGTAGAGATGGCAGGATTGGTGTGTGTGAGAGAAGCAAAGATCCTCTCAAGTGATAGAAAAGTGTGATGGCCTCATTGATCAGAAAGGCTGGGCAGCACTGCTGGAATATTTGAGGCTCCCTCCTATAAACTGAGAACACTACTTATTGAACAGCTCTTCCCAGTCATTGCATACTGAAGCAAAAGTACTTGAAACTCCTAATGTGTTCCAATGGCCACACTCTCTCCTGGATTTACCTGTATTGTAAAGAAATGCTGGGCTGCCAATGCAGCTTCAGGCTTACACTTTTGTTGCCAAATTGCAAAATCATTCAGAATATCCCCTGGAAGAGGAACAGGGAGAGAATGTGGGATCAGAACTCCTGATCTTCCTGTAATTTAAGCACAGTGTTCTTTCCTTGAAGTGGAATGTGACTACTGTCTGAAATCTGCTGCTCTGTAAATGTACTTAAATGCAGTTTAATTGTATGCGTTAAAGTGCAACATAATCATAAAGAAGAGCTTTCTGTGTTTCTGTAAGATCTTGCTATTGTTCTTTCAACCTTTTATTATAAAACTTTACTGTAAGAAAGAACCATCTTGGGTATTATAGAATATAGAAACTGTTAAAAAATTAACCCTGTGGACTACATGAACTAACCACATGTAGTGTTGAAAACTGTTCCATTGTCTTTCAGAGCCTATAAAAATATCTAACTCAGGTTAACAAAAAAAAGTTAAAACTTGCATAAACATTGTCAAGGCAAGGTTGGCATGCTGATTCCAGAAAAATGCAAAGGAAAACTGGTTATTAAACAGTCTTTCTGAATTAAGGAGCAATTTGAATTATCTAGGAAGTAGTTAGAATGCAGATAGGCACAGAAACATTCCAGTGAGGAGACAGTGTTAAGAAGCAATGCTGTTAGTTACCTGGTAGAAATAAAAACTAATTCTGCTGACTGAGGTAGCATTAACAGAACTTTTAATTGGCACTTGAAAGAGAACCACTTTTAATCTTTGAAGGTTACAGAAATGGCTTTTCTGAGATAGTTTATTTTCTAAATTTTGATATGGTAACTAGTGCATTGCTAAGGATAAAATATTTCAACAGTACCAAAATGCAGATTGGCATTTGTTAACAAACAAGAGCAAAGAAATTATTAGTAATTGCACGTTAGTCTGTGAAACAATCCAAATAGTAAAGTGAAACAGTTACTAGCAGATAAGAATAATATCAGTTTGCTACATGAGTGAACAGCAGTGGCATGATTTTCCTTTTCTGTTACCTGTTAGTGAGGGATCTTCTGTACCATCTCCAGATACCTGGCTGTGAAGATGAGCATGGTGTGTTGGTGAGCTTAAGCGTTCTTCTTGTTCTCTCAGAGAGATGGAGTTTTTGTGGGGTACTTTGTTCAGGCTCACACCCAGATTGTGCTCAGGATTTGTCTGTGGTATTTCTGTGGTTTTCCTGCTTGGTGGCTGATAAACTTGACTATAGTGGCCTATGGGGTGATATGCTGGTTTCTCAGATTTGCTGTCATCTTCATCATCATCATCAATGATAACTAATTCTGCACGGATAACCCCATCATATCGTGACAACTTTTGATCCACTTCTGCATCATCATCATCATCAACACGCTGATAACCCATGAAAATCATTGTTACTGGTTCAGAATCATCCACATAACATGGTACAGCTTGGACAATGCTGTATTGAACATCTTCCTCATCTTGAGGTGCAGAGGATGTTTCATTAGGATGGCAGGGACTTAAAAACTTTGTTTCATTTTGTCTTTCTACTGTATTCTGGTAAGCTTTTAATTCATCATGTGCAGCTTTTCTTTCTTCGTTATGTATCATCCTATTCTCAGGATTAGTGTGTGCTTTATTCTCTGATTGGGAAAGTATTGGAGAGGGAGACTTTAGCTGTGTTACCTTTGGAAGATCAAGCCCATTCTCTTTATGTTGCTGCACAAAGGGCTCTGTTTTGGAGGAGAATTCTGTCTGATGATTATTAAATCCATTCACCTCTCTTCTGTGAGTGTCTTCCAGTTTTGATCCAGGGACTAACTTGTCTTTCTGAGGAGTACCTGGCCTGCAAAATTTGTTTGCAAACACAGGCTCGTGATACTCTGTGGGAGACTGGGAATTTTTTTCAGTTGCCTGCCGTAGCAGGTCCTCCACCTCAACAGGAGCAAGTTCATCCATCCCATTTTGTGTTGTGCTGCCATTTGAGGACACTGCATAGACTGACTTCCTGCCATCATCATATACTTTAATTCCTGTTTCTTTAAACTCCTTTGAGGGAAGAGGTATTGTTGATAATACTGTGTTTTCTCCTGTCTTCATGTCTCTTTCAACTTTAATTTCCATGGCAAACAATGCTGTTGAAAGAAACAAGTGCTTAAACTGATAACGCAGCAGCTGCAAGAAATAGTATAGAAGAGTTCTGACAGTGATAGAGAGTGACTGTCAGAATCAATTATCAAATACATTAAATTATCCCATACATAACCAATATATTGGATTCTTACTTTGAATGCCCTCTTCCATCCTGTCAAAAATTGAAGTGGAAAAAATATTTTCCTTTGGATCTAATTCTGTGAGGAAAAATAAGCTGTTTCCATCATATGATTGACTGAGAAAGCCAGATTTAGCCTTGGCTCCTGGGATTCTGCTGAGCAATGTCAGTTAAAAGAGCTCAATGAGTTGTGAGCATTCAGATGGGTTAGGAGGCTTCATAGTAGCTGGGAAATAACCTGACTACTGCTGGCTGCCCAGTAGGTGTAAATGCAGACAGAAAAAGTGAAATGTATAACATGAAAGGAGGAAATCCTTAAAGTTATTGCAGGTAGAGGAACAAAGTGCTGGAAAGAAGTGTCAATGTGGAAAACATTTGAGCCTCATTCTCAATGGCACATACCTTACTCCAGTGTCCCACCTCTCAGTTTTGTTGACCTCACTGATAACATAATACAGCTTAAATGAGAGGAGAATTGTCCCATATCTGTAATGTTTATTGTCCCCTTAAAGTTTAGATTCAATTTATAGGGATTCTTTGCACATACTAACACCCTTTAGAATTACTAACAAGCAGTACCTTTTCTCTTTTCTTCATCATCAGTGGCAGCATGTGCTTTACTTTTCAGTGCAGAAGGCCTGAAATACTTGGGAAGGTCAGGTATGCTGGCATATATGTAGTCTGCTGCCTCTGAATAAAGATAATCCACAAAGCATTTAATATGTTTTCACTGACTTCTACAAGAACCTTTTTAAAAATATTTTTTTGACTAAACATACCTCTTTCAACTCCTGCTTTTTCAGTCTTCACAGACTAGGAAACAGAAGCATTAACAATAAATGTGATTAGTCAATTTCAAGATGTTAACTAGACAGTGCTTTGCTTTACCTGATAGTTTTAACTTTTTTGTGTGAATGGCTTCATACTGAGAATGGGTTAAAGGTGGGACATGCCCAGTTGGAGGATGGCTAGGGAGAAGTGAAATTTTTCTGGTCTTTTTTTGCCAATATGATTCCAAGTCACAGAGGGAAGGACAGGAGATTACGAAGTGTTAATCAGTGACACAGCTTCATGCTGTGGCCCAAGCTGCTTGGCTTCAAGGACTTTCAAAGGCTCTACTTTGGCTTTCCAGTTGTGCTTATCTCCCTGCATACCTTTAGAGAGAAA